AGGGACGGCTAGCACAGATAGCCCTCGTGTAGCTTTTGCGCGAAATTTAAAAAAAACAAAACAAAAACAAACAATCTTCTGGATAGAAGTAAGTGCTTCTTCAAATTTAATATATTAGGTAAATAAAACACAATAGCTTTAAGAACTGCTTTAGTATGTTTTTATTATTGTGTTTAGAAAGGTGCTTTATTCATATATCAAGAAATATAACTGGAGTAAATCAGTAGGAAAATAAATATTTGTAAGACAAGTAATATAAATAACCTTAGCAATAAATGTTCATGTTACAAGTTAGTTAAGGTTTATTTTTTAAAACAGACAAAATAGAGTGTTTCTTCAATAAACACTCCACTTTACCAAACGCATTTATATGATGTACAATATCTATAAAGGTTGATCAAAGTATGAATCTTGCAATGGTCATTTTATAATTACATTTGCATGTGGGATCTAGTGCTTCTTAATTAAAAATTCTTTAGAAAGATGTTGTTACTCAAAGCAACTTGCAGTCAATGTGCACTGAGAAAGTGCTATTTGAAATTGCATTCTACCAAAGATAGAAAATTCTGATAAAGAACCCTTTAACTTTGTGCCAGTATGAAAATGAAGCATTGCTTAATACAATGCGAATAAAACAAAAATCTTTTACAAAATTTCATTCAGTATTTTAGTGGTATATCTATATAAATATTATAGTATTGTCTGTCCACATAACTACATTGCAGGGTGTGGATAGATCTTCACCAAAATTGGTATGGAGGTTCATTAGGTCTATGTGTTACAGTCAAATTTTTAGTTTTGTGCTTTGTGGTTTTTTATGGCTGCTTTTGCATTTTATATCACTACTTCACCCCCTGTAGATGGATCTTCACCAAATTTGGTATGGAGGTTCCATGGGGAGATACATACAAACTTGTGGATTCACATTTTGTGTTTTACAGTTTTTATGGGCATTTTTTGCAATTACATATAAGGGAAGCAACTTTTCATGTCCTAAGATAACTTTTCATTAATCATGAATTTACATATCCTCCATCCAGGTGATGGGTACTCCAGCTAGTGTGTGTGTGTGTGTGTGTATATATATATATACATACATACATTTTGTTTTTTAATACGTGTATCTATATGAAATCTGGTAAGTTTTAGTAACATGTATAAGTCTGCTATATAGATAAAAATGATGTGTTATTGACTGTCACTCTGAGTCAGATGATGACAAGTCAAAGTATAAGGTGATTTTCATGTGAAGAATAATGATACTTTTGACCATCATGCATGTTGCATTTGCATAATTTCTAGAACTTTCAGAATGCATATCCACAGTTTTTTCAATGTTCCTTTATATCTGGTATTTCAATTTGACACATATGTGCTACTTATCACATGCATGGAAGACCATATTCAGTCACATCACAATTTTAAATACTTCTTAGGAAAGAGGAAACTTATTATCTTCACAAACGTGTTGAGGAGCATAGTAATAGCTCTTTAATTTAATATAATCATTCATGAAAAAAACGGAGAAAATGGTAGCCAAAGACAATGAAATCAAATTGAAAATGTTTAAAGGTTATGGGAAATTGAAGATTATTGGATACAGAACTATAAGGAGGGAGAACATGCATAATGATCTATATTATGATCTTGTAGAAACTGAAGAACAGAATCAAATTTAAAATGAACCATTTGAACATAGCAGTTTTGTGTATTTTTTCTTTTAATAGACTCACTTAAGTATCTATGTGAGTAGCATGCTTAAATAATTTTTACTTGTGAATCATCTCACATGTGATTTTTCTCACAAAAATGCCTGATAATTACTCTCCTCTACCATGAACTGTCACTAAATCAGCAATGTAGGGTAGAATGAATAGTCAAAAACTCTGACATCAAATTCATGATACCATGTTGGATGACACTGTTAAAGGTTGGGGCATGTGCACTTTGACCCCCACTCATACACAATAGGGTCAAAAGGGATTAAGTGCATGCTTATAAATGAAAACAAAATTTGCTAATAATGAACCTGTTTGAAAAGAAACTTAACAATCCTCTTTAAGGAGGTAGTCTAACAGACTACACATTCAAATAATATAAAATAAAACAAAATGATATATAAGCTGATTTTTATAGGAATCCTTAAATTTGTTTTAAATATCAAGCTCTTTAAAGACATGCCTTTTGGCATTTATGAATAGATCAGTAAACTTCAAGTTTTAGAACTATACAAAATTATGGTGTGTATAACAATAACATACAGTTTAAATGAAATAATTTAAGAAAATGGAACACACAGTTCAAAGTTAGAACAACAGTATATATACTTATTTTACTTTGGATGTAGTCATGAAATGGTAAACAATTAACTAATATTTGATATATTTTGCAAAAACATAAAATCACAAATATAAAAAATCTAATGGCAAGTAACCTTTAAACTTGTGAGTAGGAATGACATACAAATAAGCTTTATTTATGTGGTTGAAATTACTTGTAGAAAGTTCTTTAGATTTTTAACCATTTTGTATCACATCAATACTAGATTTATTTCAAAAAATATAAAAATTCTAAAACTTGTATGTTAATTTTTTGTAATTATCCATAGTTATGTTACATATGGAGAATATCAGAAATTTTTATGCATTTTGTTATCCCTTAATGTTTTTTAAAGAAAATTTATATTGACAGTATTCTAATTTTAACTAAAGAATAAAACAATAATATTGTAATAACATTATGAATTTATTAAACTAAACATGTGATCTTAACAGATATGTGATTTTGGTGCATCTCGATTTTTTGGAAACACTACAAAAATGTCTCTTGCTGGAACACTTCCATGGATGGCTCCTGAGGTAAGAATTGATAATATATTGTTCGAATATTAGCATGGATGATATTCACCAGATAAAGCTATGATACAATTTTGGAAGAATTTCTTTGGATGGTACCTGACATAAAAACTTTTTTTAAGTATATTTATATGACTCAGTCTTAAAGCAAAAGTTGATTGATTCAGTTTTATTTTTAACCACTGATTGGTGTGAAATTAATAACAAGAATGTGCACACAACCATAGCTTACAGGTTTGAACCCTTTTGCCATATTGTAGGTTTGTATTCACATGTATTTATTATTACACTCATTGCAATAATAACTCTAATTTATGTTCAGAACTGGTTTTTCTTCAATGGAACTTTTAGGCATGTTTTTCCAAGTTGTACCAAGAGAATCACATTTTGTGTTTAATGGAACAACTTATGATGAAGTTCATGGTGTTAGTATGGGACATAAACATGTAAATACTAAAGTTAGTTTATTTTTGATTTTCCCTGAAGAATAGTGTTTGGAAAAGTGCCCTTTTTAATTAAAGCTACTTTAATATGGAAAGTATGTGGGTGATACATTTGTCATTCTTAATCACAGTGCCATGTCAATGAATTTCTGAAATATTTTAATAAGAAACATCCAAATATATAGTTTACAATTGAATGTGAACAAAATTCTAATTTGACTTTCTTGGATACTTTGGAATATAATCAAGTGGGTAATTATGAAGAACATCACAAACAAGCTATTTAGGCTTTTATACCCATTTTAATACTAAGGTTGTGTTCCTATGGTGTTTAAAGTGAATTTAGTTAAAGTATGTGTTAATCATGTTTACAAGGTTGTAAGCAGTTATTCTATGCCTACATGGTGAAATACATTATATAGTTTTGGAAATGTAATGAGTTCATGTTCTCATTGACAGAAATACCAGTGAGATATAAAATGCATTGTTTATTTTTAAAGCTGAAGTCCTATGTACTAGGAATTCAACAGTAATAGTATTACCATATTTAGGACAACAGTGACAGCATATAAGCAAAAAGTTAGTTTGACCTTATTCAGAGTTTATCCAGAGTTTGAAATTCAATGTATATTTTAGTCCATTGTAAGAATAAAATGTTGGTTATTATCTGTAATTTGCATGTCCTTCTTGTATGGAAAAATATGTAGGTTCTGCTATTAAGTAGCTATTCATTCATATAAAATAGCATATACTGGGAATGCTACAAAGTAATCTAGCATTGCATGAGATATTGTAATAAAATGTAATATCACTATTGCAAATGAAAAAATTGTAATAGGTAGATGAGCTGAGAATTTGACAGAGTTTGGGAATTGCAAATCTGAAGCCAATATTAAACCATCAGAATTCAGTGACACCACTTCTTCTCAGGTTGTAAGCTATTAAAATATAATTCTCATGTCAGTATATGCTTACATTCAAGATTTAAATCTAAAGCAGAGTAGTGTTTAATATATACTGAGAATCTAAGTATCAAGTAGAACAATTACATTTTTATATTCTATTAACATTATAAGTTTGTAGAAGGTAGATTATTTAATTTTTTAATGAAAAAATGGCTAAAATAGCATTAACCATTTTTTGTAAGAATGATAATCTAGTCATTGAAATAATACAAATGTATCATTCTTTTCTACACCCTTTGTCCACATACTGTGGAATATCTCTGCAGTTCATTAAAAGGAAACATTTCTACATACAGCATAGCCACTATAGAAACTATGGGTGGACTGTATCAATTGTTATACAATAATGAGTAACAATTTAAAATTATGTTGGTATTATAGAATTTTGATTTTACTTTCATACTTTCACTTTGTAGATTGAAAATTATCAAAGTACACTACTACTTTAATTGCTTAGTATTAAATAGGTCACACTTCTTAAACCAATTATGAAATAATTTTTAACCACATTCACAATTTCCCCTGACACCTATGTAAAGCCCAATAAACCCTAACAGCTCACAGATATGTGCCACAGAAGAACTCCTGTAATAACAAATTCTGTTAAAATAGTGATAGCTAGAACAAGTACATATGTTTCTTGCAGTTATAAAAACTAATGGTTAGAGGCTTGAGGAAAATTATTTTTGTATCATTATTTCTTTCTAAAAGTGGGTATATTTGCAAGTTCTTATTAAAGTTGTTATTGTCAATATACACAGCATGGTCACAAGTAAATGGACACCACCTTTTCAGGAAAAATTAAATTTTTCAGTCATATCCACATGAATTGATATATTTATAATTTAATTAATATCTAGTAGATCTTCCTTTCGCTTCGTGGAGTTCGTTGATCCTTTGGGGCATCGTGAGAATCATCTCATCAATTTTAGATTGTGGGATTTTTGCCCACTCTTACTTCAAAACTTGGAGTAGATCGCTCTTCGAAGTTGGTTTTTCGGTTGTTTCTTGACTTGCTGGTCAAGTATGGCCCAGAAGTTTTCGATGGGGTTCATGTCAGGAGATTGGCTCGACCAGGGCAACTTCTGGATACCATTTTCTTCCTGCCACTTTTGGGTGTTTCTAGCAGTGTGACACGGTGCCCCATCTTCCCGGAACAACGTTGTATTCTTGTCCACGAAACCCGAGGAATAAAGTGGCAAGAGTCCTTCCTTCAATATTTCAACAGATTTCA